GTCCTCCTCCTCCTCCCCGCACCGCGCCCCAGGACTAGCGGTTTTCCCAAGGAGACAATACCATAAAATGCGCCCGGGTCCCCCGCCGCCGTCCCCACCCATCTTTCAAACAGCATCCAGGGGACCACTTTGACTGTGCATTCCCCCCCCCTTTCTCCAACCTCTCTCAATCCCATTCCCCATTTTCTTTCTTTCTTTAAACTACAGAAGAACTGCAGGACGTTACAAAGCACTTTCTGAAATGTTCCTTAACCTCACGGAAGGCAGTGAAGGCAGCATGTAAAGAAATTAAAGCTTCCGATTGAGCTTGAACGTAACCTATGGAAACGCAATACATTCCCTGTCCAGGGGGAAGGGCCACCACTTACCTGCTTTGATCTCTAAAAGAAAAAGAAATTCAATTTAGATTTCCAAGGATCCTTTTTTTTTCTTGCCCTCCTTCCACCCCACCCTTCCTCCTAATCGTCCTAAATCCTGTGCCACATTCACGTTCTTTTCTTTATAAAAGACCCCCGAATGCCTTCAAAGGTCTGAGAGGTTGAAAGGTAGGCTCGGGGTCGAGCCCAGGAAGAACGAACGAGGCTCGATGCCTTCCTTACCCATTGCTGTTTTAGCCATTGTAGCGGGCGTGCGGATGCCGAGCGGTGGCGTAGGCGAAGAAGGGTCCGGCTTCAGCAGCGGAGAGAGCGAGAGAGGAGACTGAATAAGGCACTGAGTCTGCAGAGTGGGACCGTGCTAGAGAAAGAGCAAGAGGCAGGAGCCCATGAATAATTATCACTCAGAAGCTCAAGCAGATTGGCTCCCAAGGTCCCCTGACACGACTCCCGCAGAGTCAGAATCTCCAAGCATTAAATATTGATCGGCCAATGGTGCTAGAGTACAAAGTACCAGCATGCAGTTTGAAATGGAAATCAGTCCTTCCCTCGCAGCTCCCCCTATTCTGGGGGCCTTGATAGTACAGTCCAAGTACAGTGGAGCCTTATAGCCTCCAAGCCTCCCAGGAGCCAGGAACTGGGCTGTGTCTACCTGTGTGTCAGGAGGCTTGATTCTGCTCACACGTTTCCTTGCACAAATAGGCATAAAGAAAGGGACAGGAATCCAGAGGCCGGCAAAGTCCTCACAATACACAGGCTGGTGGGGAAAAAATAGCTTAAATATTGTTCATGACTTTTTCCCTTCCCTCTTGATGTTTTCTTTCACCTCTGGCGCTGTCCTTGGTCTCGCAGGGAGACCCCAGGTCTGGCTGGAGTGGCAGTTCAGAGCCAACTTGCACTCTTGTTCTGTACTTTCTAGCTCAAGCAAGATTTAAGGAATCCCTGAACTCACGAGTGTCTCTCAGAAGAAGAACCTTAGAAAAGGGAGGCCTACTGTTTCTCCCTTTGGCCCAGGGAAAGGGGCTGCTGATTGCTTGGGAATAGGGACAATAATTATAATTACTTTCACCTGGTAGGTGAAAGTAAGCCTTTAGCCTCTTTTATCCCAGGCCTGTCCATCTGGTAACAGGGCATTGGGGGAGCCACACAGGTGGAAGCCCTGGCCCTCGGGAGGTGCTACCTTACACGGATTGAAACTCCAGTGACCTTCCCAGGGCTCTAAGGGGAACTTTATAGAGATGAAGCCATGGTCTAGGACATGATTTTTCTGAGATCCAGAGAGACTGCATTGATTTATGTCAAGAAAATAATATGTTCAAATTTCAGATTAAGCAGTGTGGTACCTGAGGATCTTTGAGACCAGCTGTAAAAAGTGACTTTCATTACAGAAAGTCCATCCCTTTACATTTAATGAAATGCCAGGCATTAATTCATTTTTCGCTCATTTAATTATTTATTGAGCATTTATCATGTTCAGCACGGAGGATACAGCAATGGGCCTATTTTGGGACTTGCTCTCCTAGAAGTTTTAATCCCTGTTAATTTAACTCTCTGTAATCTTTTTGGATCTGTCTAAACCCATGCAGAAATTTTGGTTTTGACTATTAAAAATAGGTAAAGGAGTGCTCATTATGCCTTTAACTGAAAGAGCAGTTTCAATCACCAACATATGTGAAACACTGTTAAAGTTTCATGTTATTCATAATTAAGATTTTTCTCATTAAGGAAGTAAGTTTTTTCTTAGCAGCTTTCTATCAAATCACATTTCAAAATTTCTTGTGTATTTTTTTTCTGTGTAGGCTTGCTTCAAAGGTATGATCCTCCTATCTCAGCCTGCTCAGTCTTGTTATTACAGGAATGTACCACCATATAAAAATCAAATCAAAATTAAATCAAATAAAAATTTCACTTGAGGATTATGCACCATCTATGCTTTCAAATGTAATTGAAAGCAACAGAGCTCTCTCCTTGGTGCTGAAATAAGCCTATTAATTTGTAAAGATGGTTTTAATGCCATGGTCATCTTGCTAAATGATGAGAACCTACTGGAATGGGAGCAAGTCTGACCTGCTGAATCATAGGGAAAATAAAAAAAATCTGAAGTGGAGATCAATAAAATTATTTCTTGAGCAGGAATATTAGAAATTATTGTTCCTGTCATTGTAGAGGTCTGGGGCTATGACACAGCAAGAGAGCAATATGGAAATTGGCAAGGTCTAGAAACAAATAACCATTTTCTCCTTTCTCTGTAGTCATTTCCCAATATAAGGTGAGAGCTAATTCCCTCCCAGTCATGAGATGAAGGAACTTCAGTATGTCTGGGTGACTAATATCTTTCAAGAATTCCTTTTCTCCCCACAATACCCTTCTCCCTCAGGCTGCATATCACCTCTATACATTTGTCAGCTGCATTGGAGAAGAGACTCCTAAGTCATGACATTTGTGTCTTTAGCAACTGCAATTGGCAAGTCAACGAGATGCATTGTGCTTCTGATTGCTGTGAGGGAAACAGAACAAAACACTTATCCTACTGTCCTAATTTTTTATTTTCTGGTGAATATTACTGATGCATAAAAATCTGAGAAGGCCAGTATACACAGGGACAAATAGCATATGTCTGGCTTTAATTTTTCAGTTTCTGAGTACTAGCCTCCTAATTTTATAATTTTGATATTATTTTATTATAAAACAGGGATTAGGTGGGCTAATATGACTTACTGTAGAATATAAAGATAAAAATATCAAATGGCTAGGAAAAACTAAAAGGACTGGATATTATTAATTATTTGTTAAAATTTTCTTTTAACATTATAACATACTGTTATGTATTTTGTTTTAGGAGAATAATGAGAGAATGGAAACACAGAAGTCATTTCACAATACTTTGGTCACTTATTTGTTTCTTCAGCCAACAAGTATTTATTTCTTTAAGTATGAGGCTTATATATTATGAAGCTAGCCAAGTTTCTTCCTGTTGTGTAAAAATGAAGAAAAAACAACTCATATTTACTTATGAAGCTATTAACTTCAGAAGAAGATATCACATTTTAGTTAGAGGACTTTTGTTTGCAAATAACAGAAAAAGCCAAATTGGCTGTGAAAGCAAAAAGTTATTTGGTAGCTTATCTCACAAAAAAGAGAAGAGCTTCCAGTCAGTTTTCCCTGAAAAAATTTTTAATGGTATCAGTGAACACCCAAATTATAGATCCTCAGGAAATCCAGTATACAATAAGGGCAATAGTACCTATCTTGTAGGATGTGGGTTGACCAAACTGTTATCATATATAAACTGCCGTGGATATTTAACAAATTGATGGTTTGGTATCTGTGTTGATGACAATCAATACAAGTAAAACTTTTCAGAGTAAGGTCAGAGCCAGGCATCAGTAGCTCACACCTCTAATCTTAGGTACTCAGGGAACTAAGATCTGAGGATCACAGTTTGAAGCCAGAACCAGGGAAGGAAGTTCCTGAGATTCTATCTCCAATTAATCACAGAAAAAGCAGGAAGTGGCACTGTGGCTGAAGTGGTAGAGTGCTAGCCTGGAACAAAAGGAGCTCAGGGACAGCACTATTCCCAGAGTTCAAGCCCTAGGACTGGCCAAAAAAAAAGTCAGAGTAGTATAACTCTTTATATCCTTTCTTTTAAAAAAAGTTTTTTAAAATTATTAATAAGTTTTTTTAATTTTGAAAATAACCGAACAGAGGGCTTACAATTACATGAACAAGGTAAATGAGTACATTTCTTATCAAGCATTGTTGTGTCCTCTTTTGCTACCCCTTACCAACCATCCCTTCCCTCCCCACACCCCTCCCTTCAAAGTTGTAAAGTTCTTTTTTGACATAGCATCTTGTACATTTCATTGTTGCAATGAGTCCACCTGTATCCCTATTTAAACAATTTGCATTTTCTCTTCCCCTTCCCAAATTATACCAACATCAAATGCAGTGAAAACAGGGGTTATATCATGGGGGAGGGACATACAAAGTAACAAAAAATCACCTTATGAATATGTTAGAAACAATAGCAAGAAAGAAAACCATTTGAGTCCTTGTCTTGGGGTTCATTTTGCCTAATATCAACTTATCTGACCTTTTCTGCTTGACTCAGACATATACCAGATATTGCAAATAAGAGAAACCTATGGGACCTATGTTTCTTTGGGCCTGGCTTACTTCACTTAATATAATTTTTTCCAAGTCTTTCATTTCCTAACAAATGGGGCACTGTCTGATGGAGGCATAGAATTTCCATTGTGTGTGTGTGTGTGTGTGTGTGTGTGTGTGTGTACATATATATATATATATATATATATATATATATAACATTTTCTTGATCCATTCATCTACTGAGGGGCATCTGGATTGGTTCTATATATTAGCTATGTGAATATATGCTGTGATAAACATAGTTGTGCTGGTAGCTTTAGTATGGCCTTGTTTGTGATCATTTGGGTAAATGCCCAAAAGTGGGATTGCTAGGTTATAGGGGAGCTCTATGTGGACTCTTTTGAGCAACCTCCATACTACTTTCTAGAGTGGTTGAACAAGTTTACACTCCCACCAACAATGCAGTAGGGTTCCCCTTTGGCCACATCCCCTCCAGCATCTGCAGTTATTAGATTT